TAAAACAGAGTTTGGCCTTATCGAAAATCCATGATTTCATTTTCAGGAGCCCATTTTGAGTGTTACATCTGCATTCTGGTTGTCAGTTAGAGCAGGGAGGGGGGGGTGTCATATACTGGACCCCTCTTCTGAGGGTGGATCATGACTCACACGCCGATTTTCGCATATCCCCAATGGCTGTACCCCTGTGTTGCAAAAAGGCGTCTATTGATCGCTAAGTCGTCTGCGACCATCATTCACCAGCAGCACTCCCTGTACACTTCCTATCGGTGCGTCATGTGAAGGCGTTACTGATGCGTTTCGGCACGGCGCCAACTCGTTTGCGACAGTCGTTGCCACCATAGGACAGGCATTCATTCATGGAAATAGGCTGGCACCGGGTCCAAACGTATCTACGCGGAGACGCCTCCGCCTAGCGCTACGATAAGCACTGTACGGTCATGATTCCTGCAAACGTAGGGGCATCTGACAGGGGCATGGCGCAGAGCGCGGCACGATCAGATTTTCCACCAGTTCTAGCGAGCTCAGGATGGCGTTTCAATTGGAAAAAGGGCGCCTAGCCAGCGCTCCAATTCGCTCCGCGTCACACGCCCCATCGCTTGCAGGAATCATGATTGCATGCTTGCGATCTCAATATTCAGATTATTCCTTGATTCCTCATTTTTTGTTATGCTTTTGCCTACAACTAAAAATACTACAGAAGATTATTTCTGGCTGCTCTTTTTCTTACGTGTGAGGGATTTGTAACGCGACCTTTCGACGCGAACGGAAAAAAATGCATAAACAAATCTAAGGCCTGCGAATCGATTCGGTGCACATTCGGGAATAGGAGTCAGGACAATCGCAGCCTACTGCTATTATACATACATCGCGTGCGGCGATAGGCGCGGCGTTTCCTCAAATGGCATCAGTCTGTCGATTGGAGCACCGGATTTCATTTGGACCTCAACATTTTAGATATCTGTGGCTATTTTTAGTCACCTATTGTCTATTTTTGCCATCTGCAGCCTAGAAACATCATCATTCGCTGGCGGGACGTCGCGCGCGACTTCTAAAGGCGCGGCGAATTACGGCTACGGCTGTCATCTCGCATTCTCTGCAGGCAGGGCACATCGTTGTTGGGGAATCCCCAACAGGTGGGGGAGGTCGTTTTGGGCTGAGAAAAATTTATTTTGATAGTTGATTTTTCTCGCTTCACGGACGTTGTAAAGGGGGTCGTACTTGCTCATTGTTGGAAGGGGGTCGTATTTACTTTCTGGCCTTTCTAGGAGTGCTGGGAATGGTGGTTAACTTTTTGTGATTTTCCTTTTTCCGTACTATATTCTCCCTCCCCCATGCGGACTATATTCTCCCTTTCTCCCCCCCCCCCCCCGACAGCAATATTTTTGGGAAAAAGTAGGGACATGTTGGGGAAATAATTTTGGAAAAAGTGCCAGGAAGTTGGGGAAACTCTGAGAATTGGTAGAAGGGTGGGGGTCGTATTGTCTCGCGGTTTTTCCTGTTTCACATGTGCTATTCACTCCCCCCCTATCCCCCTCCTCCCGGCCCGGCTCAACGGCTCGAATTGATGAAGAGGTACAGAGAGGCAGAAGGGGGGGGGGGGGGCAGGAGGACCTTCCAGAGGGGCTCCTCCTTCCCCCCCCCCCAAAAAAAAGGGGGTAGTACGGACTCGACTAAAACCCCAACAATGATGTTCGCTGTCTGGGGGGGGGGGTACGCATAGCAGGAACTAGTCGCAATCCCTGTACACAACGCTTCATCAATATTTCTTTTTTTTTTCTCTTTTTCCTTTTTTTTTAATTTACCCATATATCCCGCCACGCGCAGCGCGAACGAGCCCGGGCCGCGGCCGGGGCGAGCCGCGAGCGCGCCGCCCGCAGGCCAGAGGCGCGACCCACGACCCCCGCCCCTCCCGCGCCCCAAGCCTGTGTGCAGAGTTCATCACAGCCATCCATTTTTGACGCCGGCGCTAATTGACGTCATTAAGCGCTCGTTTTAGAGACTTTCGCCGTATTAAACGTCTCGTCTTTTTTTTGATGCTGATGTTCTTTGTTCTATTCAGTGTATTTTGAGAGTATCACCTAAAATGCATATTTTTCATATTGTCTAGGCTACAAAGTGATGATTAAACGGAACACTTAAGTTTAGAAAACTATGATTGGAAATTTCAGACGTGCTTCATTTAACGCCAGCAGCATTCGCTAATGCTGGCTGAATGCGCGTCCTGCTGCTAGTGACCACGCTCAATCACCTCAGCCACCTCGTCAATACTTTCATCGTACGCTCATACGTGCCACCGTAAGTGCTTGTCTACTTTTCAGTCAAACAGCACGTACCTCAACTATACCCTATACTGTGGAATATTCAAAGTCGGAGTGGTTCACAGTAGCGCTACAGAAGCATCACCCCTCCCTTCTGGTTGATTGATTGCCTTAGAAAAAGCAGACGACGTACACTTCATATCTCAGTGATGGGGTGGGCGTGGCTGCATGCTTCACTTTAACATGGCGTAGGATGTGTCGTCAGGGTACAGCATCTTTGTGTGAAACCCATAGGGGAGTCGTACTTGGCCGCTGGGGAAGGGGGGGGGGGGTCGTAAGCGGGGTAAGCAGGGTTGGTGAGCACCGAACAGCACAAAAAAGTCAGTTGATGGAGCGACGGGAAGCAGCAGGAGACCTGAATGTAAGGAAGACTACAAAATATCAAATCAATTGACTAGCAATTTCAATACTTAGCATGGACTCGTAAGTATGTAGATGACTAAATAATACATCTGAAACAGATTTGTGCGTATCGACCTTTACAGATCCTAAACAAACATCGGCACTATTGAACTATTCCTACCCCAAAAAACTCAAAAAATTTTTTTCGCCGAAACGTTGTCTATAGTGTAATTCGGTGCCCTGATCACGAATATCACATTCGATTCGAGCGATATCGTCATTTGGCGCCATTATGCGCCAGTATTGGCGCCCACCACTTTTTTCACCAAAGTCGATGGCATTTTGGGGGTAATTGAGGTCCTGATTTACGAAAATCCCAACATTCGCCCAGATCCGCCGCCCATATTGGCCGCATAATGGGCCGGCCAAATGGCCGCCAGCGCCAGAGAATAAATGTTGGCATTCGTAATCAGACTTCGAAAGAGGAAGCATGTTATATTCGTAACCAAGCGCATCGAATTACAGTTCGTGATCCCTTCAGACTCAGCCGCCATCCCGTAATTGCGTACTTCACTGGGACGCGACGGCGGCTGCAGTAGGAGTGGCGATCGATGCTGCATGATCACCTGATTTCAGCGATTAATTTTTCTATTTTGCCTGTATTCTCCTAAATAGGAGGGAAAAAGGTGCCAGTTCATATTATTTACTTCTAATTTGAGGTTTTATTGTATATTTTGCTTTCAGTCGCTATTTGACTGCAGTGACGGTGTTTTTACCCACTTTTTGATTTTGTTTAGGTTTTTTTGTTTGTGCTTTGAATGTTGGACTGTTCTCCATGGCAGTGTCGTTATGTGTCCTCATTAGTACAAAAAAACCTAAACAAAATCAAAAAGTGGGTAAAAACACCGTCACTGCAGTCAAATAGCGACTGAAAGCAAAATATACAATAAAACCTTAAATTAGAGTAAATAATATGAACTCACTTTTCCTTCTAGTTGGCAGAATAACAGGCAAAATAGAAAAATTAATCGCTGAAATCAGCTGATCATGCAGCATCGATCGCCACTCCTACTGCAGCCGCCGTCGCGTCCCAGTGAAGTACGCAATTACGGATGGCCAGTCTGAGGGATCACGACTGTACATTCTAGCTAGGGCCACGTCGTTTGCAGGCTGAGAAAATTTTTTGTTGACGTTTTTTGGGGTAGGAATTAGCTGCAATCCGTGCGCCAAACATCTCCTACATGAACCTAGGTCGACCTGCAAACAGAAGTTACACCTTTTCCCTACCTCTGCGTAGAAGTGCAATGCACGGCGCACGCTCGGACCTAATCGATCGATGATAACCAAACCATGCCTTGTTTCAGCCGGTGTTTAGCGGCGGGATTATATGTTTGAAAGGCGTATGAAGCTTTGCCAATGCATCATCTCACAAGGGCACCACGAGGGAGCTTCGATCTTTCTAAGTGGCTCAGAATGTCGCCCAAGGGTGACCCACCTAAAATATATTCTGACCTAGCAGGTCTTCACGAAAACTGAAGAGCTTTTAGGAAAGAGGAAATATTGGGCGTTCTGAGGGCTTGCAAAAGACTGCGTTTGAAAGAGGTCATTCTTGTTCAAAGTATAAAACGCTCGCGATTTATCGCTAATGCGTCCGTAACCCATCCGAAATATTTCACGAACGGGGGGAAAGTCAGATTGTGAGTGGGTAGAGGACGCATTTCTTCAAAATACCGCCTTCCGTTTCTCAAACGCCCCAAGCTTAAGAAAGCTTGCACAACAGATGTGCTCCACCGCTAATTTGCTATGGAATCATAACGCGGCCGCCAGCGCTTGCGAATCGTTACGTATCTAATCCTTCTCGGCAGAGCAAGCATTTGGAGCCGGAAAGAGAGGGTCGTACCAGGACCCTTCCCCTGAGGGTGGGGTAGAATCCTACTCCGCCATTTCACACATCACGATGCTGTACCCCTGGTACAGGAGCGTCACCTTTTTCCGTTTAATTGACTTATTGCCTCTATAGACGGAGAAGAACTAGTAGTTGGGAGGTGTCCACTCTAAAACTTGAAGAAAATTGGATTTTGAGATTTTGAAGGGTCACACTAAGCCCTTCTTCCAGCGGGAGGTCGTACTGTCGCCTGGATTTCATTCATCACGTAGATGCCCTCTGTCATCTCGAAGTATCAGGGACCATCTCAACATAGCAAATCCGTCACCAACACCTCCACTTTCCGCTACAATTTCACAACGATAATGTGCCTGAGCCCTGAATGAGAGTATTTCAGGCGTTCGGTCTGTAATTCAACTTCGGGAGTGTCGTGCTTTGCGGAACTGTTTGAAATGATGGGTGAAGTGTGTACAGAACGTCATCTAGCTCTCAAATGTGTTCATTACACGGTGAGCTAACGTTCCAGTAACTTGTTTTCTAGTATTAGTTTCTTGCTGTTTTTGCTTAACCGAAAATTGTACCTCGATCGTACTTTGGATCACTGGGTTTGGAACGATGGAAAGCGGTCGAACCACTTTACTGTACGATTTGTACAGGCTCGGTATCATGCGTAGGACACCACACATGCATAAATCCAAACAAAGCTGCTCGTGAAGCACAGTCGTCATCCGGGCATTGATTAGGGTGCAAGGGGTCGCGAGCGCTGCAGGCGTGTCGCGAGAGCGGCGATCACCATTTTCTCACTAATTTTCACTGTATTTCTTTTTTTAGAGTGAGTTGTTTTATTGTCTTTATGAGGTACATTGGGCGTAGAGTGTTTTTTTGTCTCTGTAATAGAGTGTTTTTGCGATTTTTTCAGGTGTTTGTCCAGTTGTCTGCCTAACTGTTTAATTGTGCGTGCGCAAAAAACAGGGGAACCTTAACCATAATTTACCTTGTGAAGAAAAACCCAGACAAAAACAAGTTACCTTGACGAAAAAGTAGAAAATCAGTGTAAATTAGGGAGAAAATGGCTAAAATAGGCTGGAAACAGCTGATCGCCGCGCTCGTGACACGCCGCAGCCGCGTCGCGACCCTTGCCACCCTAATCAAGTGCGCGGATGACGACTTTATATAGAGAGTAGAGAAGTAGATCAAAAACATCATGTACAGTGCCATAGACCGCGATAGGCGTCACTTTTTTTCGTCGCGCTCGGCAAAAATCGATACTGTTGTTGAACCACGCGAGGATGGGGTGGCTTTGTCACTACATTAGCTCTGTGGTTCTTTTCACACCCTTACTGCCATCAAAGATCAACATACATGGTCGAAATTGAGCCTGACCCTACACGCTTGAAAAAAGTGGGAAGTCGTGGAAGTTGAGCGCGCCGTCGCTTAGCAGCTACGTTGTTCTGCAGCATGGATCACACTCACGACACATTTCACCTTTTCACTTTAGACTGAAATGGTGCCCTTTGGTCATGCAAAAGTTCAGGTTCTTATATTACAAGGGCTAGGCGAGCTTTCCATGCTCGCTCAGAGAGCTATTTGCCACTGAAATCGTTGCAGAGGATGAAAGCATGGTCTTCTACAGTGGCTGCACCTCCAATTCTTTGCTAGGTCAATACACGTTGAGGGCCTCTACGACTCCAAATGGAAGCGGAATCCTAGGAAGCGTCTCTGAGGTCGCATGCAACCAACCATCACTAATTACATAGCTCAGTATGAGCGCTGTTCCTCTTTGATTTCTTGTAAGCGCCGGTTCTCTTGATCCATTTATCGATGGCTAAGCGCAGCTATGAGCCTTTCAGGACCGATGGCAGGAATACCCTCCGCTTCTTCACGTACTTCAATGCCTGACTCACGATAATTCGAACCAGCGTACTTGTTATATTTATAGTAGTGTTGGAAAAGCAACCAGAGAGAGTCACTGAAGCTTGCACAATCGAGCTGGCTAATGCCTGATCGTTGGCAGACCGGATTTCACGCGAAACGCCTCTTAGAACGCACCTAGAGGCCCACGCGTCGATGTCGGTTCTACCCTTCATTTGTGAGTCATCTAAGGGCCATTCAAGGTATGGCCGCCGTTTGAGTGGCCATACAGAGGCGCCTCTTCTTTGCCGGAGGTCGACAGGCTTGATTGACATACCCTAAATGTCGTGTGTGACTGTGCGGTCATGAAAGTATCTAGAATTCCGCATCGTCTCGAGGAAGGAAAGAACAATGTGGAGCTTCGTTCTTCTACCCTTCAAAGTTATAGTTTAACGGAACGCTTCCATAATTTTCAATACCGTGATTAGCACTTGAAAACATATTCCGCGCTAATGTATAGTTCTACCCTTCATTGCAGATACGTTAGACATTTTTAGGGTACACATGCGTACGACTCACACATAGTTTGGGTGTGCGTGACTATCAGCCCCTCTCCCCCCAGCTGTCGAAGCGTAGCGGTTTCCCCGTCCTAACATGCGCAGGAATGGAGATACAGGACCGTGAAACACGCTAATTCCTCCATGCTCCGCCCAATGCCTTTTGCGGCGCAGACTCCCGTTTATGCTAACAACCGTCGCGCGGCGCGTGTCGCGCGCAGCTCTCTCGGCTTTTTGCGGCAAGTCCTGTAATTGCGCTCTCTTATTACAAGTAAACGCAAGTCCCTGATGCGGATAACATTTGAGATGCTGCAAAATAAGAGCCGAAAATGATGAGGAGGGCCAGAACTCAAGAACAACTGTGCTGCTCCTGCACTATCCCTCGGAGGCCGCGCATTCACAGAAAACATGGAAATGAAACGGACTAAGCGTCGAGTATTTTTATGGTTTTGGAGCCGGAATCGCGCCAAATTGCGGATACACGCGATTTAATCGATTGCATTCCTCTCAATCTTTTTCATTTTGGTTTATTTACATCTACCATTCGTCTGTTCATCACTTTAGCCTTTTCATCTTCACCTTTCTATTCGACTTTACAGCATGAGCCACATACCTCAAATGTTAGGAGGGGAATTTGCTTTTGCTTAGTTCTTGCCAAAGCGCAATTACAGAACTTGGCCAAGTGTCAAGAGCGCTGCGCGCGACACGCGCCGCGCTGACGGCTGTTAGCATAAACGGGAGCTTGCGCCGCAAGGGCATTGGGTGGAAAGGAGCATGGAGGAATTAGCGTGTTTCACGGTCCTGTATCTCCATTCCTGCGCATGTTAGGACGGGAAACCGCTACGCTTCGACAGCTGGGGGGCTGATAGTCACGCACACCCAAACTATGTGTGATCGTACCATGTGTCTTGAAATCGCGGAGGCTGTCTAACTTTTGCGGCCCTGAATGCTGCAGCTGTCGCGTGAAAAATCACTTGTAGGAGTTGACACACCCATCTTGGGACGAGTCTTGTCAGCGATCCTATATGCATAATCACAGTGGCGACATGTTGCGTTCATTCGGTGCTAGGCCCATCCTGGTATTTCTCTTCAGGCTCGACTTCCTCTCCCCTCATGCTTAGTCTCACCCCTTTCATCCGCACGACTATGTCCTTCTTTTTAGAATACCCTTCCAATCGTGAACCTTAAAGCGCCTTTGACGGATCTGTCACTTTTTCCTTAGCTGGTAAGCCAATTAGAATAAACGATGACATGAATGGCACTCGAAGCCCGCGATTTATAACTGCCGATTGTACCTCTGAAATTTCTCCTTGTGATTTATTTTGGGAGAGGACGGTTACAGCGAGAGTAGCTATAAAATATTTTTAGTGGCTTGATGAGTGCTTCGAGCGTCGCGTCGGTAAATGCGATGCAAATGCTGTAAGTTCAGCTGGAGCCGCTGGTTATCGAGTTGCACTGGCACGTTGTGACTATCGAAAATCGCATTCTTCAGCTGAAGGAGTAAGTAAACAGATAATTCTGCCTACATCCTTTCAGTCTTCAAAAATTTCTAACTTGTTTTAGTCGAATCCCTTGATTGGAGCTCCAGCAGATGATGCCCCATCACGACTACAACTGGTTTCAACTCTTGGATACCTTCAGACGCAGTGTGCGTTGAGTCGAAGTAAAAATTGCTCCAGCGAACACGTGCATAATATTATGTCACAATGTGAAGAACGTATGAAACCACGGGCCGGTTATCCACAGTTCGACAGGCATCGATTGCTTCGGTGAGTTTACTTTTTGTATTACTGAATTATATGTTCGGGAACAGGCGGGATGCAGCACCCGAAACTGCGCATAAAACTGAATGCGTAGAAGCAGCGAGTGCACATACAGCACTCAGTGCTCACCTAAGCAGCCCTTGGCCAGGTGAGAAGCAGAACTAGCATCCTCTCACTTCCTGGCATCACTCCAAAGCGTCCTCCCCTCTAGTTAGCCCCAAAGGAGCCGATACATTCAATTTCACGCGCCATTTCTTAGGGTACCGTATCCAGCCTGTTTTCTTATTTTCATGCTCATGTCGTCGTATTGCTGGTACTGATCTGCTCAGGGACGTGATAGTGTTCTTCTAGTAATCATTGTGGTTCACTAAAGCCGAGGGAGATAACGCAGCAAATTGACAATTCCTTACACTCCATATCCTAGAGATGGGAAGGACGTGTCTGCACCCATTAATGCGGCGGTAGTTGTGCTATTCATGGAATACTGCCGTTGCAAATTGTGGCATTGCCACATACCACAAGGCAGTATGGCGGTTGTCTCAGACGGAGGTCTCCCACGAGAATAGGGCATGTCAAATGAATTACGCAACCAGAGTCAAAAAGTTACGTCGAATTAAAAAGTTAATTACTAAGTCAAAAAGTTTTTCTATCGCTACTACGGAAAAATTGACGTGTACTTCTAATGAGCTCATGCTGTGTTTTCATTGAGATGACGCCTTGTTGTCTTTCAGCTAATCAAATATTTTTTACTTACAAAGCGGATGTAAAATGCTCGTTTTGAGAAAGATGACTCCTTGACCCGCTTAGAGGCACATTGTGCGGTGATTGCGTGGGCGGAGCCAGCTACATGTTGTGAGGCCAAAGGGTTTTTGTTGCTTTAAGGGAGGCCTCCCTTCAGAATAGCAAGGAGATGGAGTGCACCAACCTCAAGTAGAGATCTGTGAAATCTCGTGAAGCCATGAAGTGTCAAAGTTTGAAGAGATCAGTCGTCAACCCTTGCAAAGCAGTAAGTACTGCGACGAGAAGCAGCGAAAGTGCAACTCGCCCTCCCCCTCTAACCAAAGCCTAAACGCCTTCAACCACAAATTCCAACTCAACCAGCCTCATGACCTCCCCTTACCTCTTTCTTGGAAGAGACTTGCCGGCCACAAAGCGGAAAAAGGCACAGCGTGGCCACACACTTCAACTCAATGCGAACTCGTCTCTGCTACCCCATGAGAGAATTCGGTAGAGGCGGTCGTTTCTGACCCCGACTAGGCTCTTAAGCCTAGACAATACTGCCAGTGACTGGGTACGCACTGTCTACATAGGCTGTAACTCCTGACCGTCATTTCAGTGAGCTACAGTACACCTCGTCCTATATCCATAACTAGACAAGCCCTGTCACAGATCCTTGCGGGAGACGGGCAGGAGAATCGTAAATTGCCGCTTCGTCGCGCGCGGCAATGGGCGCGACGTTTCCTTAATTTGCACTACCCTTTCGATTGGAGCATCGGATTTCATGTAGACAAGGACATGGTAGACACTTATGTCTATTTTTGGTCATACATTGTCTATTCTCGACCAATACCACCTAAAATCGTCGTCATTAGCGGGCGCGACGTCGCACGCGACGCTCACTGGCGCGGCGAATTACGATTCTCTTGCCACATACACCGATCCTTGCAGCTTTTGCATTGCTTTTTGGTTGTCACGGTATGAACATTCTAGTTTACAAGCATGCACGTTGCAATTTTCAGCACTTAGCCAGCGCAAATCTCCTCTAAGTTGCTCTAGCCGCAGGTCCACTTGGAGTGCCTTTTCAGGATCAAATTGGATACCTCGAAAAAGCTGTTGCTATACTCAGAAACTGACAAAGAACGGGAGTGCCTGGTGGTTCGGTCTACGCTTTCCGAAATATATACGCTTCATCATGCCCATTGTTATCATGTAAGGATCTTTTATTCGCTTTATTTTTTTCCTAACAACTAACATCTACTTTAGCACTTTCCTAACATTTTACTAACAACTTTTCTAAAGTTGATGTCGTCGTAAGCAGTTGGGGCGGTGTCAAGAGGGTAAAGTGAGCCCACGCTTGGCTGTTCTGATCTACTAATAGTGGCCAGTGAGATCGATTCACGAAAAAAAAACAACCAGTGGGGAAAGCGTCGCGGTTGGGCTCATAACATGTCTCTTGACACCGCCCCGACTGGCTGTGACGATATCAGCTGTAAAATTTTCATCTGTTTCGCCGTCTGATTGTTATGGGACGTTTACAGAGAAAAACCTTTGAGGTCTTTCTTGGAGCACGGGAATCGTACATATTAGGTTGTCGCATAAGTTCTTATACACGACTTTTTTGTAAATATCTCAAAAACGAACCAGCCTGGAGATTAGAGGTATGCACCATCACCATTCACTACTCGACGCCAGCGCTCAGGCAGCTTGTCGATTCCATCCTTCCAGAACGACGGAGGCTGGGACTTGAAGAAGTCGTCGAGCGCCTTTCTGACCTGATCCTTTGTTTCGAACTTTTTTCCGTCCAGAGCGCTGCAGGTGGCTGAACAGCCAGTAGTCAGAAGGAGCGAGGTCAGGGCTGTAGGGAGGGTGGGCGACCATCAGCCATCCGTACTTCTCCAGCTCGGCCTGGGTCGCCTTTGCAGTGTGAGGTCGGGCGTTGTCATGGTGGAAGTAGATTTCCGCATTCCTTCCACGAGTACGGTCGACGTGATCTTTCAATTTCCGCAGCTGGGTCACGTATGTGGAAGCGTCAATCGTCTGTCCCTTCTCCAGCAGCTCCCAGTACTCCATGCCTCTTCTGGACCACCAACAGGACAGGAGAACCTTTTTGGTGAAGGTCGGGCCTATGGGTGGACTCTGGCTGTTCCTTGTCACCAACGCCTGCCTTCCTGCCAGGGTAATCGTAGAGGACCCACTCTCATCTCCATGATCATCGGGTTGAGAAAGCTTCTGGAAAGTGAGGAGGGCAACATGCAGACTGTACACCCTCCTCGAGAGGTCATAGCGACAGTTCATGCGGGACCAGTGACAAGCTTGCTACTTGCCAAGCTTTCTAGTCCACGTGCAACCGTCGAATGATCATAGCTAAGCATGGCCCATTTCTCTGGTGGTGAGGTACGGGTCCTCCTCCACGGTGGAACGTAGTACTTCCAAATCCAACTCCATCGGCCGACCCGACCTCGGAGCATCTTCGAGAGAAAAGTCTCCTTTCTTGAATTTGGCGAACCAATTCTTGCATGTCATGTAAGAGATGACGTCCTCACCGTATGTATCCACCAGCTTGGTATGGGCTTCCTTTGCATTCCAGCCGAAATCGTGGAGCAAAACCAAACAGTGGCGCAGGTACGTTTTGTCACAGTGCAAATTGTGCGACATTGTGTACTGCAAATGCAAGCTCGGTGAGTGATGAGCTAGGAATGAAAGAGTACTACTAGTATATAAAATCCGCTAAGTTTTCTGTTGGAAGTGTGTAGTGGTGTTGAATGTTTCTTGTGTTTGACCGGAATCATAACTTCTTCAAGATGAGCGCATAGAGCCCTCAAAACTGATAAATGTAGGGGGTCGTGCACGAACATTATTGGTCGGTGGCAGGGAGTGATAACAGTTGATAAGATACCATAAGGAGCCTTAGAAGGTGAGGGTCACCAAATTCACAACGCGCGTCACAGCAGCGGTAGAGCGTTGGTTCCAAGAAGTAAGGTAGAGGACAGGATGGGAACATTATTGGTCGGTGGCAGGAAGTGATAACAGCCGATAAGATACCTTAAGGAGCCTTAGAAAGGGAAGTTCAGCAACATCATAACGCGCGTCACAGCAGCGGTAGAACGTTGGTTCCAAGAAGAAGTAAGGTAGAGGACAGGATGGGAACATTATTGGTCGGTGGCAGGAAGTGATAACAGCCGATAAGATACCATAAGGAGCCTTAGAAGGTGAGGGTCACCAAATTCACAACGCGCGTCACAGCAGCGGTAGAACGTTGGTTCCAAGAAGTAAGGTAGAGGACAGGATGGGAACATTATTGGTCGGTGGCAGGAAGTGATAACAGCCGATAAGATACCTTAAGGAGCCTTAGAAAGGGAAGTTCAGCAACATCATAGTGCGCGTCACAGAGAAGGTAGAACGTTGTTTTCAAGAAGTAATATATGGGGCAGGATAGGAACATTATTGGTGAGTAGCAGGACCTGATAACAGCCGATAAAGTACCATAGAGGCCCCGCCAGGAAGGCCTCAAAATTCAATGCAAGAGTCGGAGCAACGACGGGGAGCTGCATCTTTGCTGTGCCTGCGACTGAACTTGACCACCGTGGACCAAGAATTAGTGCTAAACTGCATTAGGAGCAAAGAAATGTTGCTACCCTTAGGATGTAGTCCGAGTTTGATCCGACCGCTAACCTCGTGTAAAGAATAAAATTGTTTGCCAGTGAGGAATGATAAGAGTCGCCAATAGACCGATATATGAAAGCTGCTCACGGAAGAATTAGGATGTTAGAACACTTCATGATTTCGATATTGTTACCATTGAAACTCTTTCAACCGCTAATGATTGATTTCCAACGAAGGGAGTGTTGTGATAAGCATGATACGTTGGCAAATGTTCATTAAAGAGGAAAATCATGATGAAGTGGGCCGTGTTTTGAAGCATGGGAAAAAGGCGAAGTTTTAGGGGCCACCACAGAAATTCTGCCATTGTTGAGTACCATAATGAAATTCGTGTACCAGAGCGATTGCAAGACTTTGGTTCCAAATGAATTGCGGCGCTTGGAAAGGCACTCATTGTAAGTGACAAGAAGAGCACCTACTACAAGAGCAAAGAGGCATCAGATTAGAACAATGGGAATGACAAGGAGAATGGAGGAAAAGATATGAATTTAGAGCTAATAAAAGGATTCAGAACATAAAGCTCATTATGTCCTCTTTTTATACAGCCGCTAAAATCTTTTGGATCTGGACGAATGACTTATTCTCACCATGTATCAAATCTGATGGATTAAAAATCAGAAGACATCGGCAAAGTGATGATATGACCGGGAATGCTGATGTAGAAGTATGATAAGACATCATTGAATCTCAGCCAACATTTTCCAATCGCTTTAATTGCGCGCGGTGGATTCCAACAGCAAATTTTTCTCAGGTAGTTATCAACTGCTTTAAGCTTTAATGGGGCGGCAGGAACCAAGTGTCAACCAGCCCATATTGCTCAACATGCCTCGCAATCTGATTAAGCATATTGCATCTTTTCAATGAACCTTCCTTCAATAAGCCGTGATTACCCGAGAAAGTTTGATTTATGGGGTGTGTAATCCGCGGTTAAATGCTGAAAGGTACTGTACCTCACAGGCACTGTTTGCTTTCTAACCACCTCTCTTCCGCACTGTTCACTTTTAGAGATTACCAGTCTGGCTGACGCGCATTTCTGCGCGCATGCTTAAACCTTGTAACTGATAACTGACAAAGGAACCTGTGCTGAGCACTAACACTTAGCCTAATTCCTATGTTTCCAAAACCAACTATGGTGTTACGCTGGGCGAAGAAAGAGTGTAGTGTGAGGACGACATTGAATACTGGTAGGGAAAGTGTTGCTGAAACCACCAATGACACACAAAATAAGCCATCGTGGCAGGCTCAGCTTTACTAGGAGGTCGTCAGGACGTGAGCGCTTTTTGAAAGACGGTTTTCACATGATGTGGGTTCCACGGTGCCATGATACGAAACAGGTATAATGTACACGTCACGCACACGTGATGACGTAATACCAACATCCATGCGAACGAAATAGGAGAGGATCAAACACGTGTATAAGAACTTATGCAACAACCTAATAGATAAAATGTCTGTCACTCGCGCTTTTCTCCCTCCTACAGTCCCAGGATACTGGGTGTAGGCCAAAACTTGTAACGACATGCTGGTAGCAGCAGAGTCTTTCCTTGCTAGTCGATGATACACTGTAGTACTAGCATGATGAAATAGTCATGTTATACCCAGCAGGTTCGCAAAAACTCTTCGACGCAACTGCGAACTGCTAACATGAGAGCTAAACTCCATACCCCGGAGATGGGCAGGGCGTGGTCACTTGCGCCATTTGAACATGTCTAAGGATACTTTTTTGTGGGACGCTTCTATTTGCGGCGGCATTCATCATTTATTGTGCTCAACAAAGACATGATTGCAATTGTTGGAAAGCAGTAATTTCTCAACAAAAGCACTGGAGCTGTGGGGGAAGTATGCGGCCGCACTGGAGTCCTCCATACCTCCGGGATATGCAGTGCATTCACCTGTTTATTTGACTCTTTGAACACATCTGGTAGAATAGCTTGCAGAGCTGATCCCATGGGTTTAGTTTTACCACGGTAAGGCCTCTTTCAGTGCATTTTTGATGAAGTAGCTAGTGCCAGGGGTCCAAAAAAGCGTGACACCCCTTTGAGCAGTTGATTCGATAGCCATCATGTCGAGCTCTAAACAGGGCGGATTGGCTCAGTCGCTAGTATAAATGTTGCCAGCTGCTCTGCTCGTATGAGGTGTGCGATAAGACTATTAATATGCTGCGATTGTGGGTGTGACTAGCCTGCGCCCGTTGGACGAGTTGTCCTGTCTCACCATAAAAGCGTCAAAGATTTGGGGAAATATGATAGTGCTCGCCATGGAGTCTTACCTATTTGAATGTGAGTTCGCTGCTCCATCGACAAAATGATGCACAGCGAGAAATTGCCGAGCATGACGCGCACCAACACTAGTGGATTTTCACATATGTAAAATCGTCATCCGGGCAATTGATATATTAAGACGTGAATTCTTTTTTTTGTTCTTGTATGGAGTATTTTTTGCGATTTTTTCAGGTATTTGTTTAATTGTTTGTTTAATCGTTTAATTGTTCGCAGTTAGAAAAATCTCAATCATAATTTACCTTGTGAAGACAAGGAACAACTAACCTTGAAAAAAGCAGCCAAAAACAGTGAAAAGTAGGGAGAAAATGA